TCGGAGGATTGACGCCGGAGACACCTCCGGCGTCCCTTGTAGGTTATTATGGTGAGGAGGGAGGTAGAGGATCATCTTCAACACAACATGGATCTCAAAGTATAGCCGGAAGTTACAGCTTACAATTAGCTAGTTTATAAATTTGCGAAGATCACCTCTGATGGACTTTGTTTTTAACCAACAGAAACAATTGGTTGTTCTGATTACTGACTCTTTTATAAGTTTTTGTGGTACTGATTCATTGACATTCAGGTAGGTTACGTTTTCAAACTGATTTTGTTGAGTTTTAAGTATGTTTAAACTCCATTGATTTGATTCGATAGCAACCAAGCTTTAAAAATTGTTTAAGATCAGCTATCTGCAAGTGGGGATTGAGACACAATGTCGAAACATGTTTTCCCAACTTACTTTTTGTGTTGAGCTTCAACCAGTTGAAGTGTGAGACAAACCTAATACTATTGGGCTACAATAGGGTGTTATTTGAGCCGTACAAGCTGAGCTTGGTAGGTTCGACTTGTTTATAAATGAGTTGAGCTCAAGCCTGGTGCAAAATTTATACGAGCTTTTTTTTTTTGTGTTCAAGCTCAGTTTGTATAGCTAAATGAATGAGCTCGATCTGAGCTGATCTTGAGCCGAACCTGAACTACTCGACTTATAATTCGAGTTGACCATTGGTATGTTCGAGTTTGGCTTGTTGATGAATAAGATGAAATCGAGTCGAGCCCAAATTTCATACAAGCTTTATTTTTTCTATTCAAGCTCAGTTCATTAAGCTAAACGAACGAGCTCGAGTCAAGCCTAAGCTGCTCGGCTCACTTAACACCCCTAGCTACATTTGTTGAAGCTTGCACGTGTAAAAAAAATGAGCAGAACCCCATATTGAGCCCAAGCAAGTGGGGTTTAGTACTCTATTTTAATGCCCAGATCCGTTATAAATTGGGTTTCTGGATTAAATCAGATCCACTTACTACTCAACTCAACAGTCGTCAACACATCTGATGAATGATCTGAGCCGTCTGCTTGCTAAGAAAGATCATAACCCTAGTTTCCCAAAACCCTAAT